CACTCTTTCAGACATTTTTGAATGGGTACAACAGAGAATCCAAAGCATGCACACTGCACAAAATTAAAAATATACGCACAGTAGTTAACTGCATTTTCAAATACCTTGTGAGCTTCCTTCAGATAAGCAGATTGATACTTCATCATTCCTATCATTATCATCCCCCACTTCAGTAGCAGTTTCCTCTCCTGGATTAAGTGCTGATTTAGAAACAAATTCAGATTGATCAGAGAAATCAGCAGGACCTCCTCTAGGGGGTGGGACCTCAATCCCCATTAAACGATATTTCCGTCTTCGATTCCCAATCCAAGTCTTGTAAGAGAAATAAACATGAATGATATCAGAAACTATAACAAAAGCAACAGGCTCACAACCATGTGAAATTAGCGCATCTATACTATAGGAGCAAGAGCGTAGCCAGCAGTTCCAGGGAGATGATTATTCCCGCGTATTTGACCCTCATGAAGCTGCTTCCTGGAATACTGTGTCCAGGCTCAGTCCTCCAATACAAGGGGAAAGGGAAGGAAGGTGCACAGCAAAAGGAAAAGACACAACAGTCACAAGTCACAGCAAGGGAAGCTCTGACTGGAATTAAGACAAAAAAAACATCCTTTACAGTGAGGCACTGAAACAATTTGTCCATAGGAGTCTTGGCATCTCCAACCTTGGAGGTACTCAACATTTTGCTGGACAACATCCTGAGAAATGTGACCTAACTCTGAAGTCAATCCTGCTCTAAACAGAGAGTAGGACTAGGTGACCTTGTAAGGTCTCTCCCCACCTAAATTATTCAATGAATTTAACATAAGATCTTTGATCCAGGTTCTTACGCTCTGCAACTTCCACGAGTGGACTAAAGCATCCAGTGACCCAAATGGTCCACCTGTTATAGAATTTCCTACAGCACGGAAGATGTTGTCCAAGGTGGTAGCTCTACATCACTCTGATGACAGAACATAAGTTGGCAGAATTAAATTCAGAGCAATATTACTCTCTCTGTTTGGAAGACAACTCTTTAAGAAACATTGCTTGCAGTAAGGTATATAAGAGCATACTGTAAACAGTGGTGGGAGATGAAACAGGTCCAGGACCAAGGAACTTGGAAACGCATTCATGATCAAATGAGTATGGATGCTCTTAGTTCATTTTACATCAATAAAACTGACAGTTTCAACAAAGGGAAAAAAAAAAAATCACATTCAAAGTTCTCCAAGTGGATCTGTATAACTGCTAGTTAACTTGCTTTCTCTGATAGTGTCTACACTAAAAATTATTAAAGACTGAAAATAGAACTTAGCATGATGTAATAAGAAACGTCTGCAACTCTTCACCTCTTAACTTCTCCTTCCCTTGTATTACTCAGGCTTTTCACTTCTCATCCAATTTCAATTCTACATTAACAGCGCTTGTTCCCAGACACTTTGTTCCATCCACGTCAGTTCTCTACTAGCATCCAAAAATCCTTCTCAGAGCCAGGATCAATTTCTTTGCCAACTGCTAACTTCCAGTCTTCTTGACCTGGCTCTCCTCCCCCTTCCACACCATCTAAAACACAGGAGAAGCAGCGCTGATAGCCCTAGTGGGATATTCCTTATTGTTCCAGGACCTGACCACACGCTGGCCCAGGATGGACGATGGTGGAGCGTGGCCGTGTAAGCTGTCACCATGGAATGTGTGCTTGACTCCTGTGATGATGATGGATGCACAGCATGGTCGTTACTAGGTTCTGAAGAATGCTCAGTGCTGCAATTTCTGGATTGCTAAAAATCAAACATCTCTAGAGAGCACGGGCAGTCGCTATTTTTGAAAACACATGATCACGGCATGGTGAAATGCACATCCCTACGATAAGGTCTGTGTTCCAACAGAGTTTACTAAACACACTAAAATATTGTAGGATTTTTTTGTTTAAAGATACACTAAACATTACTCTGGCCCTATTTCTGAAGTACCTGCACTGCTACTCCTCTCCATCACACTTTCTTTAACTGCAGTTCTGATACATAGTATGAAAAAGTTTAGTAAAAACCTTTTTGCTTATAATACCTTGATTATCAAATGGAAAAATTAGGAAGTATTAACAGTAGTCTCAACTACTAAAGAGAGTTTCATGCAGTGCCAGCCTTCCAAAAAATATTTTTTAAAGCTGATTCTCTTTAGCTAGCTAAAAGATGACATGGTTAACACTATTTTGGGCAAATCATTGATGTTGGGCGATATTTGCTTTCCTACCTTGCTGATTTTGCTCTTTGAAGAATGCAAAACAGATACACAGAGAGCTACCTAGATATTTTTGTACATTATATACAGTTTGGGAAAAAAAAAGAAAAAAACCCACACAAGTGGCCCCTTCCAGACCTAGATCTCTTTTCTTCCAAACAGTGTATGGCTATTCTTTAAATTTTCTCATAATCTTATGATGGTAAGAAATAGTGCTAACAACTATAAAATTTAAAAGCAAATCTGCTTTTTTTTTTACTAGAAAATTCCGCAAGAAATTGAGGCACTCAAGAAAGGTAGATCTTGCTTGTATTTTGCATACCTTTCAAAGCAGAAAAATCTTTCATTCAACACACTGAATATGTCATAGAAGATGAACAAAAATTTTATAGTGTCTCTAATTAAAGTGGGAAAGAAAAGTAGTAAGCTTTCATATCCTGCATGCTACATTCAACTATGAATATTCTGGAGCAGTACAACGATGACTGCAAGAACAGATTAGTAATTCTACATAGGAAACCAGCTTAATAATTCTCATTATACCCCTAAAATACTACCTCCTTAGAAACTTCAAACATCATCTGTAAAGCGCATGTGATTAGACTCATTAAGTCTACTTACGGCAGCCAGCAATGAACTCAACAGCAACTTTCTTGGCTTCAACTGACCAGATGACCAGCAAGAGTTAGGGAAGAAACGCTAGAGTCCAGGCAGAAGGAGCCAGCATATGTCTGCCCTCAGGCAGCTTATAAGGAAGTGGACTGCCAGGGAGCCACTTAAAACATGATTACAGCTCTCTAGATATTGAGGTTAGGGTGTCAATGTTCTAGAAAGATTATAGGTTGGAACCTTCAGAAACCCCACTTAACTGAAAAAATAAAGATGGAATATCCTCAGTTGTTTTTCCAGTGTCTCTCTCGATCATAAGCCAGATCCAGACTAGGCCTAGAGCCCCCAACAAGAAGAGCTGTTAGCCAGCTGTGAAGAATGAGTGGTCTTTCTGCTGCAACTGCTTGATTTTGCTGCTAAACTCAGGGCGCAGCACTACCATCAGTAACCCAGCTTTAATCTGATGAGCTGCTGGTACATAGGAGGAGGTGTCTTTAGCCTGTGGTGGGTGCTTCAGAGTAGCTTTTGACCTCTTATGAATGAAAGTTTTATGTTCTATAAAAAGAATTTGTCATGCCTTTTTCTTATATTCCTCATGTATTTCTGAGGCGTTTGATAGCTGTCATCCATCGTTCTCAAATATCTAATGTCTCACTGCCAAGAAGGCTATTCTGCTTTCAGATGCTAGTTTGGTATGAATGAGTAAAATTAGACAAGAGAAATATAAACAAATATGTGTAAGTAAGTACAAAAAAGCCCCCAAACAACTCCATGATTGCAATAATTATAATGTAACCAAAAGAAACATTGTAAGTTTAATGAAGTATTGGCCAGAGTTCACATATTAAGTATGACATAACTCTTTTTATTTCCCTCTTTTGGTGTCTTGGGAACATATGAAAGATATTTGAGGGTGCAAATGTGCGTAACGTTAAGGTACGACCAGCAGTCACTTTGCAAGTCCACTCTCCTACTCGAAGTACAAAAACGGTGGAATAAAATCCCCTGTTCAACCTTGAAAGATCAAATCCAGTGGAACTACGCATGGTGACAAACTTTATCTTTCCTTCTACTGGAAAACAGATTTGATACTTTCTTTGTAGTGAACATCTTTCAAGGCAGTATGGGTCGTAAGGAACAATCTTTTGTACTTCTGGAATGGCAAAATTTATCTGGGCAACTAATGAATTTCCATTAAAAAAAAGCTATTAAAAGGGGAAAATTGGGACAGGTATTTAATTGAATTAAAACAAGTGATATGTATATGCACAGTTGTATATGTTTTTATGTATTGATATAAAATTATATTATTTATATAACATATTATATATACATTTGTTGTGCCTATTATTTGATGTATATATATTTACTTGGCTGTATATATATACTTATTACTATACTTATTACTATTTTACATATGCTACTTTTTTTTTTTTTTTTTTTTTACATCACAAATGGAGAAACAGTTGCTAGTTGCAGACTACTTAGAATTCACGGTACAATGAAATACAAAGGCAACAGCGTACAAGTATTGAAAGTGGAGAGTTTTTTCCAGAAGCATCCCTCAGTCTAGCTCTTCTCAGCTGAGCATGCAGTATAGGGCAGAGATGCTGTGGTCCACTCATGCCTTACAGCTGACTACATCACTGCTGTGTCCCGACTCCTTGTGAGAAAGAGACCATGCTGCACACTAACCTCCAGGCAGCAGTGTTTCCTACTGAAGAAAATGCAGGCTGGCAGGTAAGGAGAGAGGCACAATGCGACGTGCCTCTATAGATCCCAAAACAAATTTAGGACATGACAGAAAATACCTGTCCTACAGCTGGGACGCACACGATGTGCCTCAGAGAAAGGACAACAGGAAGCACTGAAGATCATACATGCCCTGTAGCATAAATTCAGCCCTTTCAAATAAGAAATAAATAGTGCAGGATGGTGCAGGACCGACTTCCACCTAAGTCTTGCTACAATTCTCAAGGCTGTTGTATAGAGGAACCCGAGGCAGTGGTAGGACAGATACTGGTAACACCACCAGTTAATATGAAGAAATCTTTTTGTTCATTCGTGTGTATATGTTCTAATATAGGTGATGCCAGAGAGTCTTCTGGAGTTGATCAGAGCCTAGTACATCTGCCCTGAAGACAACAGCATTTCAAGCAGATGCTATTGAAAGACATGTACAGAACTTCATATTGTCATCCTGTGTGTGCCAATAAGGATGTTCTTAAGGCAACAAAGAGAGACGAAGCATAAGTGTCAGTCTTACTGCTCTGTGAATAAGGCATTTCATATCCAGGAGTCCACTTTGTGATGCTGTCAGTGGAAAGAACTTCACCTTTCAGAAAGCAAATGGAAGAGCTTGGAAAACATGCAGAAGCTTTGTAGTCTATAGAGAAAAGAGTAATTCTTTTCAGCCTCCAAAACTACAATTTCATTTTTTTATAATGCACATACGCTCAGGAAGACAAGCAAGGAAATAACCAAATTAGTGTTCAATACTGCAAGTAACTTCGGTCCCATTTTGATATGCCAACCCAAGAGAGATCTCCTCAACAGAAGAGTTTCAAATAAGGGCTTCTAGTTCCACTTTTGCAGCGATGTCAGAATTGGAAGAAAGAGGTGGAAAAAGAGGACAAAGGCTGAAAGGACTAGCTGCAATTTTCATGCCCATTATGAGGGAGAGGAAGACACTAACCGTGTTTTTGTACTGACTGCAAAGACAGTTGGACCATTTTCTAAGAATGGAAACACTCAGAGAATGAGACGGCCACAGTTTGAGAGCGATGATGTATGTCTGGTAATTGGGAATACAGTGGCAACAACTGATGCTGTACCAAACTTCCCTACCTCTGGAAGAGGTGGTGTGGAATGGTTCTCAGGAATCACGTTATCTACAGCAAACCTGTCCTTTCTAAAGCAATCCTTCCTCAACAACATCTATATAGACTACCAAATTGAAGACCCAGAATTCTTCGCAGTACCCTTTGCCCTCTATCACATCTCAACCTAGCTTCAAGACAGTCTTGTAAAATATTTTTTTCCTAGTTTTAAACATTTTCTTTCTTATGTTTACAATGATTTTTTCCTATACGCATTAATGAGAAATATTTTCCCTGTATCTTTAGAAAGGCTTTTTTGATTCTTAATAGCAATATAAATACACTGTTCAGTCTTCTTCAATGTAACACTCTCACTTAAAAATCTTACTCAAGTCTAAAGAGAATGTCAAACGGCTCATAGTGCTACTCCTGCTGCTGATCAATAAGACTCTTACCTGAGGGCTTTTTTCTATTTATAGACTGCAGAAAGAGCAAGTGAGCGCTTCCCAACATGGTCATTCATTATGTAATACGTGAAATCTATTTCAAGCTTCCTCATGAAATTTTTAAAGGCTTTCATCTGTCCTATTTTTGCTTCTGCGACAAGATAGGGGAAGACTCTAGATTTCTTACCCGCACTATTTCACAGTCAACATTTAATTCTGCAGCCACAGCTTCAATTTTCTCTCTGCAGACTGAGCCCAGGCTGGTCATGCCATTGTCCCAGTATTTCTTTAGGGTAGCTAAGTCTCGGTCACTAAATTGTGTGCGGTCCTGTAACTGTAAGATAAAAAAAAAAATACTGTTAGATGAAAAAAAAATTCTGCTTATGCTATTCATTTAATTTCCAGAGGTCTTGCATACGGTAAGACACACGTTATACTGTCTCCATGGCTTTTCTTCTCTTTTAACTCTCCCTTAAGAATTTTTTTTTAAAGTTTGTTTTTTTTATCCAGGGCAGTACAGAGTTCCCTGGGATTTGCTTTAAAAGGCAATGGCAGTGCTAACGCAAGTTTAAAGCACTTCAGCTTTGTTTCAATTCCACCTGGTTTTTTACATTTGTTTTATCTCATTCTGTAAGGCCTTACTGAAAATAACTTTTCCCCCCTGTGCTGTTTACTCTCTCCACCCAAGTTATGCAAATTATTCCTCAAGGCTTTTCAAGTTTCTCACCCTCCCCCACCTAAAGTTCTTTTATCTTACTGCAAACTACAATACATGCATAATTCAAAGGACTCCGAGTTCCTAAAGGGAATACTTTAACGTTTATTTGCTAGGCTTCAGAGTTTAAATTGGTTCCACTGTTTATTTGTGAGTTCCCTAACATTTTGTCTATATTTATCAAAATATGAGATAGTGGACTACTGATATAAGGACTAACACTGAGAAACAAATCCTAGCCATTCTACCACTTCTTGAACTGTTGTAGGCATACAGTATCATTCGCTAGCAGAATGTACAAGCTTCATGAAAATTTTTTAGCCCAGAATTTTAATTAAAATCTACAGTTTCTTTATGCCGACCCATGGTTGTCATCTCTCCTGCTATTAGGAATACACAAATGCAACAATAAAGTCTGCACTAGTAAGCTAAAATCTGCCAAATCTGTCATCATGTCTTACAAAATTCAACTGTTGAAATAAACATGATTTCAATATCTGAAATCTGGATTTGCTCATTTAAAACCTGTTGAAAGTTAGAATAAAATAACTTTAAAATGGAGTAAAATGAAATGTTGCAGAATTAGAATAATTATTAGAATTATTTGAAATAATTCTAATATTGAAACAATTGAAAAAATTATTAGAATAATTTGTACAGTTATCAATTTTAATTTTTGTAAGTCTTCTGAATACGGTAATCCTTGCAATTTTCTTTTTTTAAAAATTACTATTTCTCAAAATGTTAGAGGCACTTGAGTCTCCTCAATATATAAGCATAAAATAGGGGTATCAAAACCTTGTCTCCTTAAAATAATCCCAGGTGGGCCAGCAAAAAAAAAAAAGCACCAGTTATATACTGAAGTATGGTCTATTGTTAACGATTACCAGTCACTCAGATTTTTCTTCTTGGCTATCGTTTCACACATCCAAGTACAGAATGAGAGAAGCCGTTTCCATCCTGCCCACCCATTAGGTGACATCTTCGGCAGGGAGCGCACGAGGCCAGGAGCTCGCCGCGGAGAGCCGGCGCGCACGCCG